AGGATTATGCGCTACGTTCGAACAACTATTTAAGAAAAATCAACTGCATTCAACGCTGTGTGAACAATTGCCGTGATGATTGCTTGGTCGCCCGCGTCTCGGTAAGCAATGACCGCGATTTCTGCAGCAGTGTTGTTAATCCTGCACACTCACGCGTTCGCATTGAGTCTGATTACCCTGCCCAGGCAATGTTTAATCGATGGCTGGAAAGGACAGAGGTCATTGTACTCGTTCACGAACCGCGGACAGGGAAACATGACTAAAGCAACTCGTAATTCGCGCTGCTGACCGCACCCAAAGCAGTCTCCTACCAGTGTTACTCCCAAATAGTTGTTTTGCCCAGAAATTCAAAGATCCGGTAGATGACTCCAGACGCTTCTTGCCATAGCTGGGGTTTTCCGACCTCACGACATGATGGCTGATGATCGCCTCCGGTCTGAGCGCAACCCCAAAGCCACGCGGCGTGAGTGTGTGGTTGACGGCATCTGAGACGCATTTGGTATATGGCAGAGTTCGTCAAAATTTAGGGACGGCACAGGTTGGTCTCTTCTCTCATCTTTGCATGCACTGTTTGACGAGGTTTCTCGATAAGTAATTTTCTCGGAGCTCTCGTCAGAGGTGTTGCAATTCAGCAAACCTATCTTGCGGTCCACCGCATTGCGACAGGACGCACAGAGCAATTCCTCTTAAGCAAGTGTGCATTTGAATAACTGAGATTCAGTACTTGTGTCGTATTTGTCGCCTTTGTGAACACTGATTATTGGTACAGTGAAATACTGGGCAGTGTTCTCTTTGTGCTTCTTGAAAAGACCACAGAATCAAGTCGGGGTCATTTGTTGCGTTCTCACCTTGCGTTAATCAGTCAGGAAAGCTGCGCCCTAATTCCCTTTGTCAGCACTAACCCGGACATTTAATGCGTCGGCATTTTTAAGGGGCTGGGTTTGCATAGGACACAGAGATGTTGATCCTCCAGTAAACTTTCGGCCCACAGGTGCTATGCTGTTCTGTCCAGCACGACAGTGGAACGCCCTCGTATGCAGGCGCGACAACGTTTTTGTCGGCCGGGGCTTTTCGTAGCACTTAACGTTGAACCTCGAAAGTTACTTTACTTTATCAGAGAGACTCAAGAAGGAACGACGCTTGGTGTTGGGTAAAGCGCTCTTTCCCCCAAAGAATCGGATCAAATGCTGTGGTAATGTCTAAGGTAAAATCTGTCGCCATGAGTGAATTAGGGAAAAGGGCACAAAACGGCTTAAGTACTTGATCAGACGAACCGTTTGTTTGAAAACAATGAGCAAGGCAGCACTGCAGACCGAGTTATAGAAGGCGCCTGGCTAAATTTTATCTAAAAACTACAAATCTGTACACAATCGGTCTTCAGAGTGGTTGGCCCAGGAAAAAAATGCAACATACGCCTTATTAAACACAGCTGGTTTCAAACCCAAGTCCTTGCTGAAGCTGTGCTGTGATGTGTTCTAAGTCCTCCTCTAACCTCTTAAAATGTTAAGCAAACCATGTAAATAACAGACAGAATTCTCAAGATTGTTGCCTTCCAAAAAACGAAAAACATTGAGAAAAATGTCCCATGATGCCAGAAAGCGCTCCCTGGTACACAAACACTTTTGCACCCGCGACAGTTCGAAAGTTGCAAATAACCACGTCTACCGCGTGTCCAAAGGAGTGGGCGCAGCACCTGTGACTTGCTCGGGAGGCAAACTCACCCAGCGCCCTCTGTACTCTCCTTCCATGTGTCCTTCCACCTGGCTCTGGCATCGAGGCAAAGTTAAAACAAACGAATTCCGACGAATTCCGGCGCTCATGATAGATTTGAGCACTGATCTGCGGGGTGCTGGATCTTCCGGTGTCGGCCTAACCCTTTCTCCACTAACCGATAAACCAACTGACTGTTCGAGCCTATAATCAAACGGAGGATAAGATTGGGCGCAGTGACTGACCCGAAGTGAAGGCCTACATCGAAGGCGTGTCGCACGCAAGTACCTACAGGTTAGTGCTGACTCAACGTAGCCCGATAAATGCGTTCTATGCACTCCCCTAACCCAGTTTTACCCAGTGTATCGACAACGCCTTCATTTATGAGGTTTATGCAGTTGCATTCGAACCTTCTTCTGCGAGGCTGACAGGAAGAGCAGCGGTTGAGATGTTGCGAGCTCTTTGGTGCTTGGCGATACCTCTGCAGTTTCAAAAATAGTTGCTTATATCAACGACACAAAGCGACTGACAGTGAACGGAAAACTCTGAATTCCTCTGTGCCCTACGCTGCACAAATGGCGTTTATGAAGTCACCGAATACATTGCGACCTGAGGTCAATATCCGTCAATATCTGACGGATACTTTCACTTTGTCCCGTCCAAGAGCCCAGCTGTCATATGTAATTCCAAGATGCTGTTCTCTGCCCGGCGATCGCACTCCGGTTATCATCCCTGACCGGATGGTGTTGCCCAGTGTATGTGTGTCTTCATGCGCTCGCAGAAGAGGTCATGCAGGAGATGTGTTGGAGCGAATGCGAAGGCCAGATTACGACACGAGTGTGTAGAATACATGTATTTCGCAATAAATGCCACACATGGGAGGTGTCGTGGCAAGTACAAAACGCAGGTATCACGCCGCGCAATTCCCTTGCTCCCAACAGTAGTATGAGATAACTGACCGACTTGAACAGTGGGCACGATCATGCGAGAGATCGGTGCTGGGAATCCATCTCCACGGCACTTTAGCGCATCCCGCACTATAAAACATCTGACGCGCCTGAATCTTTCACGACGCCCTAAAATTCGTGGCTTGGAGGGCTGCTATCTGACAGAATAACTCAGTCCGTACCGGGATGGTGAGTCAGGCTGCAATGGTTCGTTATTAGTGCGGCACTCCCATTCAAACGCGATCTCAGACGCCTCCTGTGCTTGTGAAAAACTTGACACGTCTGTGGAAGTAAGCCGTGTGGCACGCGCAGACTTGCTGGCCTTCGGTCGTCTTAATTATGCCTTGCCACAGAACCCAAAAGGGTGAGAAATGCAAGGTTGCGCCAGATGCTACGCAATTTTGTTATTCCTACAAACTATTTCACATATCAACTCCCGTCCCGAGCTCATCATGCGATGGGATACACGACGGACATAGTCGTTTGCGACGGCCGAACATTTCCATGCCTTCAAACCCGGTAGTTCCGAAATAATTCTCAAACTGCCTGCCAACCCTCAAAAGTCATGCGGAGAGGACGACACATAAACCCGTAGGCGAGCCAAGTTAAGTCGGTTATTCTTCCCAATAAACAGAGGTCGTGGCCCATAGATGAAATCAACAGTCGTCTGGGGCAATTATGCAGGCCTATTTGGAGATGGCACTGACTGCTCCCTAGCGGCGGAAGGAACGACAACAGAAGCCCTAAGAAACTCCGTCCGTAGACTGCCTGTGAACTGTGGACGGGAAGTATATGGCCGAAACGACCTGTAAAGCAACAGCCACACCCGTCCGCATCCCTGCGACTTCAATACGCCAGGGTGACAAAGCGCCCCTTCACGGCCTGAAATACTCGTTCCTTTTATACAGTTCAATGACAAATCGAACGGAACGGACGACAGCTCCAGTCGTCCACAAACTTTGTTGCCGACAAAGTGGACGGTCCGCTGCCGGTTATACCCGCTTCACCCATCAGTGGCAAATAAAGTAGGTGGGTGCCAGAGGGCAGTCAGTCCATCGACTGTGACGATGTCGGCCGTGTGCTCCATAGCAGGGTAAAAGCAGGGACAGTGAGTTGCGCGTTAATTAGTTCATAGTGGTAGCAGATTTCGCAGCATCTAGCGCACTCTCTCCTACTCCCCCACCTGGACCCGGTATCAACACATACTTAGGAAGACAGGAGGTAGGAGAGGGTGTAGGTTTTCGACGTGGCCGGATCCGCCCCTAGGCGTGCTGCCACACCTGGCTTAGATCCCACGCAGTGGGAGTGCCATAGAGGCCACATTAAGAAGGAGCCATTGCAGCTTACTGTCAGTCTACCAGCCCCCTGCTGTAAACAAACCCACACTGAGCTAACTGTGGGGGCCCAAGTTATCCTGTCAGTTCGCAACCTTCCAAGCCATGGCTTTTGGCTCACCGTGATGGCTTCATGCGCGTCAGATTGCTTATGGTGAGAAAAATATGCTGAGTCATCGACCTCCTTTTCTATTCCCGTTCCCAGGCCCCAACCAGTCAGATGTCTGGTGCGGGGAATGGGCGCAGTGTTTGACAGAGCTAGAGCTACCCTAGGCGCGTCACATGCACTACCTGGTCCCCAAAGGCGCGCGCCAGGATTACACATACAAGGGAATAGAACGTTCGGATCTCACGTACCGCAGAGGAACCGCACGGAGAAAGGAGCCGAAAGGCCCACTCCCCCTGTGTGAGAGGTGCCGATAATGTGAAATTTTGGAGCCGTGTAGGCGTGGCGCATGTATTGATGGGGGAATGTGGGATAATGTGGTCTTGTCTGCGGTGATTTGTCACAGGTTTTCATGAAGACGCACGTGACCCAATAGGCCCATGCTGTAAGTAGATGTGGGGAGACAGTATGGACAGTTGAGGCGAGTGTGATAGCTGTATGTTGGTGATCCTGGCATTAGCTCGCTAGTTTCTGTGCAATGGATTTACAAGTGATCGACCAGGTCGGTGCGTAATGTACATGTCCTGCAGCAGTAAGTACATGGTGGGGTCGGGGCTGTAGAATCGGTTGGGGTTGTGAGACTGTCAGTTACGACCATGATGGTGGATGACGAGTTGTTGGCGCCGGACATGGGGGCGTTGATGGGTATGCAAAGTGTTTTTGCGGTGTCGGTAGTGCAGTAAGCTCCGCTTTCGTGGGTGCGCATGGCATGTAATAGGCCCACATGATGAGGGAACGAGCATGTACAGTGCGGGCAGCGGAGGCGATGTGGCAGGTGTCTGTCGGGGCTCTGGGCACTGGCGAACCGGTCACAGTGTGACGGATTCGCAATGTCCGACCAGGTTAGGACCGAGTCCACATCGCTGTAGGTGGGGCAATGATGGTGGAGGTGCTGGTGCCTGACGATGCGTCAGGGGTGCTTTGGTCAGTGACGAGGGTGGTAGAGGTGTTTATGTTCATCGTCGCCGCGTTGATTATAGCAGAAATGGTAGAGGTGGCGGTGATCGATGGTGGTGGGGCACGGAGCTTCAGAGCAACGGTGGTGAGGTCGGAGCAGGTCGGAGCAGGGGCGGTCACAGACGCACCAGTTGCCGTTGTTATGTGATTGGTGCATCGGGCACGAAGATGACCAACGAAGCCGATCTGTGAGCAGAATGGTCATTGACAGCCCGGACATGTTGGGTGGGGTTCAGTGAACATGTTGCGGGTCAGTGGCGCCGGAGTCTTGCGATCTTCACGGCGGCGATCTCATTTGCTTCGTAGACTGCTGCGCCAGTCATCACTACTTTTCTCCAGGCCGGCCTGTTCTGGGCGAGGACCTTCCAGGTCTCTGGCCGCTTCACATAGTTCTTCAGAGTGTCCTCGTGGCGTCGTTTTTGTCCTCCGGATCATTGAGCATGCGTAAGGACAGCTCCGTATAAGAGTTATGTGGGTAATCGCGCATCGTCTATCCCCACCAGGCGACCGCTTCAGCACAGTTGTAGTTGTTCCGGCATAATTTGGATGATTCGAATTCCGGTCCGGTCGAGGACTTTCGTGTACGGGATCTTCTTCTGCCATTTCGGCCTCAGTATTCTGCGGAGGCAGCGGAGATGGAATTAGTTGAAATTTCTGGTATGACTGGAGCTAACGGTCTAGGTCTCCGCTCCGTAGAGAAATGCCGTCAGGACGACAGCTTTATACATCTTCAGCTTGGTGTTCAGATGGAGCCCGTGGCTGTCCCATACGGAGTTCTCTAGCCGGCCGAAAACTTGGCTGACTTTGGACATCTGGTGAGTCACTTCGTCTTCGATTTTGATGGAGCATGAGAGTGTGTTGCCTAAGTGGACAAAGTTGTCCACAGTCTTCAGTTTTGTAAGGATGTAAGGAACACTGTATTCAGCGTTGGGTTGCGGCTAATGCATGACCATCGTTTTGTTCGTGTTAATTTTCAGTCAGAAGTTGGTACACCCGATGGCGAAGAGGTCCATACTCCGTTTCATGTCAGTTTCTGACACTGTATTGAGCGTGCAGTCATCCGGGAAAAGCGGGTCGTGGAGAGACGCGTTGACGCCTACACGCGCCGGCTGGTGGGAAGATGCCCGTCAGACCTGTGGGCGATGTGGTCCTCGGGGTGCTCAACACGGTAGACGTCCATCAGCATGACAGAAGACCTGAGATTGAAAAGGGTAGGGGCGACTAGGTAGCCTTACATTACTCCGTCGGCAACCGCAACTGCCTCAGAGACGGTTCCAATGTCCGTGACGCTTCATCATCCCGTCGTGGGGCGGAAGTAACATGAGCCTGGATCGGTCAGAACAGTCGAATTTCGGCATGATTTTCTACAATCCACCGTTACCCACCGTATCAAAGGTCTTCTTTAGGTCAATGAAGGTAGCGTAGAAATGAATCCCCATCTTCTGACACCTTTCTCGCGGTTGGTGGGCGCGAAGATCATGTTGGTGGTTTCGGGGTCACTGTGGAGGCTATAGTAGCTCTCCGGGAGATGTCCTTATTATTAGTCCATTTAGGCTGCTCAGGAGGATGCGAGCGAAGACCTTCCCAGTGATATTAAGCAGCGAGATTCCTCTGTGACTACTACAGAGTTGGAGGCTCCCCTTCCGTTTGCAGAGGTGGGTTGTTGCTGCATTCTTGAAATCCTGAGGAAATTATCCATGACGTCGCATCTCCTGGAATAACGTTGTGAGTTGATCCATGAGCTGGGGTTCGCCATGTTTGTAGACTTCGACCAAAATCATGTCAGATCCAGGTGTTTCCCGGTTGAACAGTTGATGCGCGGCGCTGACTGTCTCCAGGAGGGAAAGTGGCAGATCCAGGTCGTCATTCGTTTCCACTTGCAGTAGTTGGTCGGTGTGGGCGTCGGGGATTGCAGGGGGGACATTTGAGGACGTTTCTTAAGTGCTCGGCCCAGCGCTTCAAAATCCGTGATTTCCCCGTCAGAACCGCTGTTCCATCGAAACTGAGAAGTGGCACGGCTACGTTAGCTTGGGAGCCGTAGACCGTTTTGAGTGATGCGAAGAAATTCTTGAGTTTATTGTGGTCGGCAGACCCCTGGATTTCCTCGACCTTGCAGGTCATCCAGGCGTCTTGCATCTCACTCACTCGGTACTGCACAATGCGACGATAGCTAAAGAAGACCGCCTTGTTTGTGGCGGTCCGATGGTCCATGTAGGCGTTGTGCAGTCGGTGCTTTTATGTGGGCTTTTGACTAATGTCTCTGTCGCTGGCACCGAACCATCAAAGCGATATACGATCTTCATGCTAAAGAAACTGCAGAACTGTTTAGTCAGAATGGAACAACCTTATTGACGAAGACGTCACAGATCTAGGAGAGTTGGGTGGCGCATATCCAGGCGTTCACAGTAAGGTGTCTGCAAACTATGAAGAAGCCATCAAACGACTCCCTTAAGTGGACACCAATCTCGACATCGTCCGCCTGCCTTCCCTCTCATAGACAAGCACATCAGCGCAGCAGCTGCGCTGTGGAAAAGAATCGGGAGCAAACGCAATTCCAGCATACGCTTACAAGTACGTTGAACAATAATTTATGGGAGAGCTGCCTTGCTGTTCCAGTAGGTGTGGCTAAAAGACTACGCCTCCAAAGTGCTCTTCCATCGTGAACATCTGCCAGTGCAAAGGGAACCGCCAACCTTGTGTTAGCCACGGAGGTATTCCCTTCCCAACATCGCACCTGAGCATGAATACGGAGAAGGAGAGTCTTGCAGAAACACAATGTGAATTTCATAAACGAAGTGAAACCACGGACGTAATCACTGCTATCTGACAACTGGAAGAAAGGTGCAAAAATGAGAACCAGTCTCTATACCGTCCTTGAGGATCTGACGACTCAGTGGAACGCGATAGACTCGGGAGGATCATGGGAAATTTGGATCTTCGGAGCGGTTCAAACAGGAGGTAAGACGAAATTATAGTAGACGTTACGGGCAATGAGGCAACCTCTTATGCAATCGCGATGACTCGTGGAGTGAGGCAGATCTGCGTACTCTCCTCGCCCTATTCAATCTTACGTTCTCCATTACGCTGATGGACACCTACTGTAGGTAACCACCAGGCACCTAAATGGACCAGCGAACCAACGAACAAATGCATACATGCATCTTCCACAGTATCTAAGGCCAGCGTTCACCGCCTTTTGTGAGCAGGCGACCGCCCGCTAGACACCGTAACGCTTAGCCGGTGGCCCGGTTTACAACTCGTCGCAACCGAATCCCCGAAAGAGAACTCAACAGCAACGGCGAAGAACACGCGTCTGTTGCTGAACTCTTAACAGCAAAACTGGATGATAGTTTAGATACGGCATGTCCAACGGCGGCCTACAATCGAGCCAATCAGATCATGCCCTCGACGTATTAGCATGTGGACTGGTCTACTGACTCATCCGAGTGGCTGGGCTCCCCTCCAATGCTGCCTCCGATTGGCGCGATCTCAGCACGCTCACGCCGAATGGGTGGATCGATAGGACAGTAAACGTGCGTCGTTAGATCAGCATGCGAATGAGTCGGTTATGACGACCTCTCCTAACAGAGGGAACAAGCAATGGGATAGGCCCCTCTTCGTCCCCTCCCTCCCCAGCTGTAAATTTTAATTTGGTGATCGGTGCGGAGAGGGGAGTGGACATCACCGGTCGACGCCAAAACCTGCCCATAACAAGGAGGATAACTAGTAATGCGACTCTTCACACCAGTAGGTAATTTCGTGCGCTTAGAGAGTATAATTTCAAAAACACCACGATATCGTCGGGAATTTGGGGCACAGATCGGCCTCGCTGGACATCTCCGGACTCAGTACACTATTAACACGAAACAACTTTTTTCCTTCTTTGCCATTACCACCATCATCACCAGTGGGGACGCTCTGGTCACCCATCGCCTCTACCACCGCAAATGTGGACTCAATTTCAATCTGTTTCCATTGCGACCGCACAATTGAAACGAGCATTGACCAGGTCGATCACTTGCGAATTTATCGCACTGAGATCAGCGAATTATTGACTGCATCCTCGACCTACACTCATCTTGCATGACAGATTTTGCTTTATCACCCCAGGACATTCAAACACCTCATAGGTTTTTCGATTGCATTCGCACACACGAAGGCGAGATTCATTACGACGTCACCACAGTCAACCCACTTACTGCGCCCGAAAGACCCTCTAGCCCTGCAAAAATCTCACCACCATACCATGGTCCCACCCAGCCTTACTGCCACCATACCTTTATGCCACGCATCGGCCAGATTGTTCACCTATTGATCCATCGCGCTGAGACTGGCGAACCAGTGCCAGGAGCACTGGCACACAGGGAATATTTTCTCACTTGTCTTCATTTCGCAGGTTGCGGACTCATCGCATGGGCAAATTTGGCCGTATGTGCATTCATGAAATACTATTATTAAGGAACACAGATCGGACTCCTTCACAACGCATGGCCGTACTCGCAAACGTACGCACATCACAAGGCGGCATGTGAACCCATTCTACGACTAGCATATACACGATACCTCCCCCCAACGCCTCAGTATGACAGCAAGCGTACGTTCCGTTTGTTATCGCCGATACGGCGGACGAAACGCCGCCTGGTAGAACCTCCACATATCTCCTACGTAGGAAGTAAGTCCTTTGGTGTGGCTGCGGGAACTTCACGTGGACCAGAACTAAATTGTCGTAGGCTGTAACTATACTGGCTCAGCGTGTCGAAGTATGATGGTCGACAATTTGAAATGTCGTAGATCGGAAGGCAGGGAAAACAGTTAGGTGGACAATCGTTTATCGAGGCCGAGAGTGAACATGCAGCAGCACAAGTAGTTGCAGCTAGCGTTCTCATCAGGTAGGTGTCGGTCTAGGTGCATGCGCCCGAACTTCGTCCGGTTGTGGCCAATCGGTGTAGAGGGAAATATTGGTCAAAGTCACGGCGTCACAGACTTGTGGTCGAGCCACGCGCGTAGACTGACCAGAGGTGCCACTGGTAAGCAGCGGCGCTGACAACTGTAAGAGAGTGTGGACACAAGCACTACGTAGACTGGATGATATTTCACATGGTACTTCAAATGCAGTACTAGAGAATCTGGCTTAATACTCGTCGACCAACGAGCGTGGGTACGGCCTCTAGTTGGCGACAGCTTAGAAACATTACTGTTTAGCCACACTTCCCCAGTCCTTCCTAATGTTCGCTCTGCACATACAGTGAGCGACCGATCTCATGAAATCTTGGCCGACGTTTTGGGACGCGTTTTGGGATTAGGAAGGATTACTGAGGTAGGATTGGACTACAGATGACCAGGTAGCACAATTCTATAATATTTCAGACTCTTCTAGATGTTGGCCTCTGAATGTACTTCTTTTTGACCTCCTATAGAAACCGCTCTTGACAAAAAGTGACTACTTAGTTCGCATGGATTTTTCACATTGATTTTCGATAGTCTTATGAATTTAAATATATTTTCTAATATACATGCACAAAAATATGCTTGCTCTCGTTCTTTTTGTAGCAAATTACGTCGCTTTTACATCTTGTACTCAAAGAAAGGATATATAAAGTTTTTGAAGAAGTTTCCCAATTCGCAAAGAATTTTGGGCCGGATAAACGTCTAACGATTTCAGTCTATGAAGTGTATGCTCTTCGCGTACGGAAAATCATATATTCCCCCATGTCTTCAAGAAGATATCATATAGAGTGCATAAAATTTCGCAATAGATGTAGACTATGTTGTACATTTCATGAGGACCATTGACAAACGAACAGGTACGATGCTGTATGAATGGACATTGCACGGCCTTAAAATTCCCATAATTGTAAACTCTTTTAAAACTGGGGGATAACCCTTCTTCAGATAAAAATGTGAACTTTTCAGTAGATTGAAGCACTGTTTTCCAGGAATAAATATGAATAAGGCAAAGGCGACAAAGCCTGCAGTATTTACTGACGTCATAAATTTCGAGACCTCTCTTACAAATGTGCCGCTGGATGAAACAATTGACATAATTTGTGAGCATGCAGGTGAAACACACCTGCCACCAGAGCAACTGCGGGAACTACTACAGATATGTACAAAGAATGTACAGTTCTTGTTCAACGGGCGGCTGTATCGACAGATCGACGGTGTAGCTATAGGCAGTCCATTTGGCCAGTCCTAGCGGACATCTTTATGTCTAATCTAGAGCGAAAACAAACTCAGAATTTATAACGAGCCTCATTCTATATGCGATATGTGGATGGCATTTCCGCCATAGTCAAAAACCCAGGCGACGGAGAACTACTACTCAAGGCTCTGAACAAAGCACAAGCAAAGATCAAATTCACGATCGAGCATGAGAAGAATGACACATTGTCTTTCCTGGATATTCTTGTACGTAGGCGGACAGATGGCTCTATTCAGA